TATATATATATATATATATATATATATATATATATACAGGCATTATAAGCAGCCAAAATTAATGATGTAATTATATATTATGATGTAATCACATAAATTAAAATTCCCAAAATTTATGTAATTCCAATTAAGACACTAATTCTTAAAATAGTTTTTGCCCATTCCTGTTTCCCATATATTACTTACCATACATCTTGTATTGCACGTGTGCAAAACTTTGGGGGAAAAAAAGAGGAAAAAAATATCAGCCATGTAGCTAGTTTAAAATCTGGAAGACAAACTGAATTGCAAAAAAAAACTGTTTGATCAGATTTTATAAAGCAACAGCTGCTGCACAGAAAACAGAGAGCGAGCGAGAGAGAGTGAGAGAGAGAGAGAGAGATAAGGGAGTACATGTATTTGCATTTGTCTCAGAGGCAAAAAGCTAAAAAAAAAAATAAGATGCTGAAGATTGTACTTTATCATGACAAAATAATGGCTTTGTGGTTGTGTTTCTCATCTTAGCGGCTTTCTTCAAATCTGAGGAAATGGCCTGGCATTTGTCGCACTTAAGAGATGCAGATGAGACACAGATTCTGACTCACCTCTTTCCATTGCTGGTATATATCACACTATTTCACGCTAGGCACACAAAAGCTAACGTCCCTACCAGTGTCAATAACAAGGACGCAAACACACGAAAGATCAGTGATTTAGCAAAGTACCATCACACAGCAAGATAAAAAATACGGAATCTTCTAATAAAACACAGTGTTGCATCTGGTTTAACAGGGGAAGAACCAGAGCCATTATGCATTGTGCATTTTGATAATTAAATTAAGTGAGGCTTGCAAATTATTTTGCCAGGCTAACATGCATACAAATTAGCTTGTCATATTGTTTTAGAAATACAACAAATATGAACCTTGTCAAACATGAAGAGAGCAATACAGGACAATATTTAAATTATGTATTGCGCAGACAAAACAATAAATAAAATCATGAAATTATCATGCCTCATATTTAATTTTCAGTTTTGTATTAAAAACGGTATGCAAAGTAATTTAGGCTACTTCATATATGTACATGTATCCCTAACGGAGATGCATGTATGTGTATGTGTGTGTGTGTGTGTGTGTATGTGTGTGTGTGTGTGTGTGTGTGTGGTTTCCATGGTTACTCCGTCCTGAGAGTAGCTGTTCTTGCTAAGTTAAGGATGACAACACAGTGTATGTGTTTCCATGGTTACTCACTCCAGATTGTGGTTTGTCTTTGCATAGTTGCAAAGTGAAAGGGTCTTTCTATGTGCATTTTCATGCTTATGCATGTATGTTTGCATATTTGCAATCTCATGTGCTCCTATGTAACTGACGTTTTGCACAAGAGGTACACAACATTTTAAGATGGTCATGAAATGGAGAATCAAAATGCCACCTCGATACGCACCTTAACGTGTCATCGTCGTATGTAATCAAGGAAGTGTGTTCTGAATAACTCATGCCACTTAGACATTGTTCTGTCAGTGGATGTAAAGAAACTGCAACTCCAACAACTTTGCATAGCCTTCCTAAAGATCTGAGCATTAGAAAGCATGGCAAGTGAAAGATATTACACCAACAGGTCACTGAGTTGGACAAAGGATCACCCCCCTCCTAAAAATGAAATGCAAACTCAATCAGGTGTAGCTGATCACCTTCTCAATGGCACACAAAGCCATTTGACTTTCAACTGTGCTCAGCTGTGGTCATTTTGATTAACTCAACATGAAAAGAGCTTTCCTGGAGCATTTTTAATTCCTTGGTAGTGCAACTGAAGCAAACATTCAACTATGGATGGCAAGGCCTTGTCAAATATATCTCCGGGATAAAGTTGTGGACAGGAACAAGTCAGGAGAAACAAAAAAAATTCAAAGGCTTTATCAATGCCAAGCAACAGAGTGAAGTCTATTATTAAGAAGTGGAAGGTATTTGGGACAACACAGACCCTCCCTGGATCAGGACGTCACTCCAAACTGTATGAAAGAGCCGGAGGAAACTGGTCAGAGAGGCAACCAAGAGGCCTACAGCAGCTCTGAAGCGGCTGCAGGAATTTATGACAAAGAGTGGTCATTGTGTGCATGTGACAACAATATCACACATTCTCCACAAATGTGGCTTGTATGGGAGGGTTGCAAGAAAAAAGCCACTCCTCAAGAAAGGCCACATGCAGTCACGACTGAGCCAAAACGCACCTTGAAGATTCTGAGGCAGATGAGACTAAGGGTGCTTTCACACTAGCACTTTAGGTGCGCACCCGGGTTCGACTGACGTCAGAGTTCGGTACGTTTGGATGATGTGAAAGCTGTCTTCCGTACCCGAGTCCACTTAAAAGGGGTGGTCTGGGGTACGGTTCAAGTGAACTCTGGTACGGTTTGCTGCTGATATGAACGCAATCATACCAAATTGTGGAAGTGAGCGGCTATTAATGATTAATTATTTGATAAAATTGTGTTTCACCCATTTTCCTGACGAGCGTGACTGATGCTCTGCAAGCAGAGAGCATTTCTGTTTACCTTCAGTGTTCTTTAGAGCATTTGCAGTACATTCATATGACCATTATTTACTGAAGCTTTGGTGCAAAATCAACGGTTCAAAAACATTAATACAAAAGTGAAAAGAGCAATGCTACGCATTTTGCCGCCTTCTCCTCTGCCATCGTTACTAAGCAACAGGGTAAACGGCTGCTGGCTTGATGACGCAAACGAACCGCGGTTCGGACCCAGATAAAATAATCTGAACGCAGTCCAGCGGGGACAGTGACAGGGACAGGGACAGGGGGAGCAATCGAAATGGGGTCCAGACCAGGCAATCAAACCAAGTGTGAAAGCACCCTAAAATTGAATTAATTGGCCTCTACACCAAACGATATGTCCAGCGGAAATCCAATACAGCTCACCATCCAACTAACACCATTCCTACAGTAAAGCATGGAAGTGGTAATATCCTGTTATGGGGGTGTTTCTCTGCAGCAGGGACTGGAGCAC